GTTGTATGTCATAGTTGCACATCCTTCTAGTTGCTGTATGTGGGACGCGGCCTCAGCATGGCCGGAGAAGCGGTGTGTTGGTGCGCGCCCAGGATCTGAACCTGGGCCGCCAGTAGCGGAGCGTGTGCACTTAACCGCTAAGCCACGGGGCCAGCCTATGGTTTATCTTTTAATGAATGTTATTTCCACTCCCAAGTGGAGAGGATAGCTTTCTTGAGTAACTTCTTCAGTGGGTTGCAGGCTTGAAATAATCAAGGTCAATTCCTTTGAGTTTCAAGGCCACCTTTATAGTAAACAAGACACTCCTACCTCTAGGCCAGTGCTGTTATTGTTAGAACCATATTAATCCTTTTAAAAGAATAGAGGACCAAAAATCAACTCATAAATATTTTAATGAGTCAGTTCTAATAGAGACAAAAAAATAAAGTGGGGTCCACCCTAGCCATATTTTAATGTAAACAAATTTAGGTTTAATTTTTAGCTTTAAAAGCTTTTTTATATATTTTACTAGGGCTAAGCTAGTTATACAAAGCAGGCATATACTCTTAAAGAGATGATTAAATCCTAGTAGCATGGGCTCTAGTCCACATATAGATGTGATAAACTCTTATTTTCTGAATATTTCCCATAGGAGCATGGTAATTATAAACTCATAGTATCATACTACATACTTTACATCAAAATTATTAATGACATCTTATTAATGATTGAGAAAAAGCAAACTAGTTGGCTCATGTTAACTAGTTAACTAACCCAGTACTCCCCCAGAGCAGATCAACCTACTGGAAAACTCAGTATTAACTTCATGTTTGACGTAAGAAAATTAATCAATGCAATGAACAAAGTCTCCTTTTAAACACTATCTAATTTAAATTAAGAAAAAAATCAAACCTTCTGTTATTTTGGCACTTGGGTCTTGGCGACAATCATCATCATCACTGAAAAAAGATGAAAGACATTTCATTTTCTATGTATTTAGTATATGAAGGAATACTGGGTAAGTAAAAGAACAATCTGTCAAAGTCATTATTCATACAGAAGCAAACCTGGAATGGTATGTCTCTGAGTTCTCAAATCAAATGAAAATGATTACTACATTGACTTTTATTTGGTTTTATATGAGCTCCCTTCTCTTCTACAATGCTACACATAATTGAGAGTTGCCTGCATTCCTAATTATGTATGTTTAAAACAATCATGAGGGGAGATGAGGTCAATGGTGGGCCAGGAGTAGATGTCCTAAAATGGCATCGGGTCAAAAAGAAACTTTAATTTCATAGTGCCAGGTGGAAAAAAATATAGTTACAGCCAGGTAGATTTTTCTCCTTATATCCTATTTCTCTCATGATGCAAATTGCTACCCTTCCCAGTTGGTGAATATTCTTAAAAACATAAGAACAATTTTAGACACGTTTTGACTATTCTAGAAAAAGTGTTAATCAGACTTCAAGTCTACAATGTACTTTGTTCCTCCCTGTCCCCTATAAATACTGCATAGTCCAGCCTTTCTCTTACAGTCTTCCCCAACTTGGATGGTCTTATCTAAATCTTATCCATCCTTTAAAGCCTAGCTCAAACTCCACTGCTTTTGAGAATTCTTCCCTGAATGCTCCAATTTACATCACCCCCTCCATTCTTGAGATTCCTCTGACAAGTAGTGCCACACTGTTGAGCATTTAGGTACATAAGGGAACTAAGTAGGAATCCCTTTAGGGGGGCCATTAGTGCAGGGACTATTGTTGACCCAGGACCTGTCTCCCAGGTTCAAGAACCTAACACATTAGTTAAAGACTTAATCTAACTATACTAACTAGATCACTATACTAGAAAGCAGGTCTCAGAAGAAGAAAGTAGAGATCAGATAAACAGGAATGAGAGAGAGAATGGGAAGGGGAGGCCCAGGAAGTAATCACAGTGGGGAGCTAGGGGAAGGAGTGAGGGGAGGTTGAGGGGCTTCCTCACAGGTTTATCTGAGGGGCCCATTCTTGCCATCAACATACTTTTTATTCCAGACTTCTATTTTCTTAGCCAACTCGTATTGCTTTAACTGACTATACCTAGAAAATGACGGCAGATCCTCTTCATCATATGAGCATGAACTCAGATTTCTAAATGCGAAGAAATCTATCGGTTCGGTACTAGATTTCATTTCTTCCATCTGGAAAAGGATAAGTCAGATATTACACAAAACAGAGTTTGCAATAAATCAAATAAAATATAAGATTTCCTTAGTTATCCATGTGGCCAGCATTGCTGACCAGGCACACTGTGTTTGGTCATGAAATCTCACATGGCTTCCCAATAAATAGATCAGAGTTTGTGTGAAGGCTATTGACCTGGTGAACTCCTGAACTGGCCAGAGTTGTATCTCTGTGTTTTGTCTTCTCTGGTTCACTGCAGTTTCTGGGTTAACTTGACATCATTGCAAATGGATAATCCAGGGAATTGTCTCACTGGGAAATCCTAAATCATATGTATTCTCCCAACCCATGGTATGGTACCATTTTTTGGTTAGAGCCAACCCAAGAAGTCAGTAAAGCCCAGACCATCACTAAGAAGCATACAGACCCAGGGACAGGAGCTGTGTTTCAAAGTGATAGTGGAGTTTATGGGCTGACTGTAGGAGAAATATTCAACATATTTTTAGAAATTTGCCGTGTATCTACAAGGTGGCTAAGTACTTTCTAAGAAAAAAAGTTGGTTAAGTAACTTGCCCAAAGCTCACATAGCCACTAAATGGCAAAGCCAGAATTCAAATCCAGATAGGCTGAATTTGCATGAATCTTTTTATTCCCCTCCAGCCCATCTTCTGGTCCTGCCAACTGGCATGAAGTTTCTGTGCATGAAACTTCCAATGAGTATTTATAGGTCAGAGTACAAAAAAGGATGAAATCTATTATTTTAAATAATTAGCTTGCATTTCTCCTAACTGGTTTCCATTTTCTGTTTTTCTTGTCCTTCTAACTAACCTAGGACTCTTTCCATGATCTGTTTTTCTTCAATTGAAGCTCCTGGCTTCGCCTGTTAATCATTTCCCTTTTGTTTTTACATCATCAAAGTTGGGAGAGACTGCCTAGATACAGTTTATGCCCTTTTCTTCCTATCTAACGTACATTACTTGAACTAAGTTTGTGAAACTCTTTACCCTTTCTACAGAAACCCAGTCACTGATAGTCACATTTCTCACTTACACTTAGTGGTGTCTTTTTCTCCCAAAAGCAAGAGTCTGTGTCAGTCGAGGGTTTTGAGGTAGTCACATCAACCTTAGAAACAATTCTTCTTTTTTGTGTCTCCTCAGATTCTGTCCGTTGAGCTGGTGATGCTTCAACATTTGTTGTAGTTAGACTGGATTTGGGATGACAACATTTTACTAGTAACAAAAATTTTTTCAGATTGCTCTGGCTCATCAGTGGCTTGGGAAAAGCCACTGTGCTTGCAATGGGCTTCACGTCTTCTTTCACTTGATCTTCAAATGGGCCTTCTGGAAATTTTTCATTTACAACCTCTTGTAAAACAACTTCATCTTCATCAGAAGTTAAAGTCTCTTCTACTTTATTTTTTGAATTTTCTCGATCAATATTATGAGCTACCAAACGAATGATAAGATCTTTTGTGCTTTGGACATCTTTTAAAAGCTCCACTTTGGTGATGTCGGGCTTTATTAAATTCTGAAATGAATTCCTACTAGCAATCTGGAATTGAAGACACAATGGATATTAAAAACAATTGCCTCAGTCATTTTTCCTGTGGTTCTATTGTAATAAGGCAATTTTCATATGGTTTCTAGTTTCAGTTTAGTAAAATTATTTATCTTCAAATGCCATTAACTTATTATTAATGCTATATTTAAAAGAAGAAATAAATAAAAATCACAAGCAATATTTGCTCATTTCTATACTTTTTTTTGCACTCAAGAATAATATCACTCTGGTGCAAAGAAGAGAACCCAACTGAGGTTCTTTTTTTGTGTGTGTGTGAGGAAGATTGGCCCTGAGCTAACATCCGATGCCAATCCTCCTCTTTTTGCTAAGGAAGACTGGCCCGGGGCTAACATCCATGCCCATCTTCCTCCACTTTATACGGGATGCCGCCACAGCATGGCTTGACAAGCGGTGCGTCGGTGCGCGCTCAGGATCCAAACCGGCGAACCCTGGGCCGCCGCAGCGGAGCGCGCGCACTTAACCGCTTGTGCCACCGGGCTGGCCCCTGAGGTTCTTTCTTTTGCTTCAAATTTTACTTTTTACTTGCCAAGAAATGCAAAATACACAAATATCTTAATTATATTCTCTTTTCATCATTTACTTTGAAAGTTTTGTAACAGATTTAGATGTGATAACATGTTTTTCTAAACTTCTTAGTAGGGAAATAATCATAGAGTAATCTAAATACAGATATTTTTAGGAGAAAAGACAAGGTATTGGCTGACCTGGATTTTTAAAAATTATGAATAATAGCCAAAATTGTGAAGGACTTTGAATGTTCATTCTTCACCCCTCCACACCCTAATCTTTTGAACATATTTTATGAAGGGCATTTCAAAGAGTAAATCTTCATTTCTCTGCACCTTCCTTAGTCAAATGTCACTTTCCATTTTGCAATGTTAAAGGCAGATCAAGGAAAAGAGAGTTATAATTAAATAAATGATTTTTCCCATTTCTGTAGCCTTTAATGACACCACAGAACCTTTAAATTGAGTTATCAATCTTAGATCTTTTTGTAACACTGCAAATCAGATTTTCAGATAAATGCTGCCTTAAAGTAAGATCTTTTGTGCAAAACAAAATGAAAGAATAACTTCTGTAATAAATGGAAAACAATCAATTTTGATTATGTGTGCTGGTGGAAGGAAAGAGTGGTTCAAAAAATCAAAAGTCATTCTATATGGCTTTGGAATGTGTCACCGTATGAGCCTTTAATAGGCATGTGTCTCGTGTGTTGGGAAGTTTGGGTACCTCAGAATAGCAAATGAAGTCCTGCTTGTGGATTCCTCACTGAGGTAGCCCGGGAGTTGTCTGGGTTCCCTAAACTGATCTACTGTTCTTTCTGCAAACCCATCCCCCTGTTGGGGATCGATGGCACTGCTATCCAGATACCCGCAAAGCATCTGTCTTAGGTGAGCTATCTGTGTCTGTTTCCTTTCCTTAAGACAGCTTTTGCTCCCCTTAAGAGTAGCAGAGGTAGTTGTTTTGGATTAGCTATTCTCTTCCAACTTCCTCTGGGCTACAAAGAGGTCAAGTACTGATAAAGGATGTAAGAGAAGACAGCAGGTTAACCAAGAATAAGAACTAATAGATATTTCTGCAGATGATTAAGAAGTAATGACTTGCGGGTACCGTTCTACAGTTTAGACACACAGATCTTGTGCCCAAGGAATTACTTATATACAAATGAAGACTACTAAGTAAATGTGAATGTAATTGTGAGAATCCAAAGGGAAAAGGACATTTTAGAGCTGGAAAGGACCTTCACCTGGTCCAAAAAACTAAAGGCCAAGGAGATTCCATCAGTGTCTATTACAATCCCAGTATTTGAGACTAAAAAAGAAATACCCATGAGTGTATTCACCAGCTCTGAGACTTAATTCAATGTGTTGGAAAATAATGCTAAGGAAAACATGCTCCTAGGCTTATGCTCCAGGCAGGTTGGGTCTATAGAACTTTGCTCAGTTTGTAAGCCACAGGCTACATCCCTAGTGTGAGTGCACACCATCAGTGCAAGAGGCTCATTTATACCGAGGGGCTTTGGTATTAAATGAGAACGTGGGGCTGGATCAGTGGAACTCCATCTCCTGGCAAGACAATCCCTATGCCCTTGTGCCCTAAGATCAGTAAACACAATTACCTACTTTTTCAATAATTGACCTGTACCAAGGACAATGTTTTGGCATTTCAAGTCCCGATTATTTAAGTATATTTGGAGCCCAAATATGGGATGCAGAGAAACTAGTTCATAAAAATAGCAGCATGAAGACAACTGGGTCTAGTACAAGGGTAGAATAGGAGAGAAACTGGGACATCCTGAGAATGTAAGAGTATGGGGAACTAGGAATGTGTTATGTAACGAAAGTGAAATAAGAAATGAATGAACTCTAAAGAGCTTGCAATCTAATGTTTGTTGATGAATAACAAACACTAAGTAGTATTGTTGAAGTAAAAACAATACTACTATGGAGCCTTAAGTTTGAGGATTTCAGTCTCTAATAGAGGCTGGTTTAACTGATATTCTAACTGGCCCTTTTGGACCCATATTATACTATGATAATGTATATAGATAAAAATGAACTGTGAGGATTGTAAAAATTGCATTTCTTCTGATTTTCCAAATGAGGACTACAATTCCTATCCGTCCATTTTTCTGTTAAGGGTAGTTCCTTATCTTCCCGTTCTTCAAGAAATGGCAGTTCAGTCTGACTGGCTAATGGAAACTAGCTTGCCACCTTTACACTGAGCCACACTGCTGATGGGATAAGTCCCAGGAAAGTAGAGAATTGTACTGGATGAATCAGAGTGTCCAATTCTACTGGGCTGGGCAAGAGAAAACTGACCATATTTTTTTTATTTTATTTTATTTTTAATTTTTTGTTTATTGCAGTAACATTGGTTTATAACATTGTAAAAATTTCAGGTTACAATTGCATTCCCATAGACCTACCGGACGAGGGAAATCACAGAAGGACAACCAGGTCTCACTCACTATTCATTTCTTTTCACCATTGCCTTTTGCATTTACCTCGAAGGGCTTTACATTCAGTCATCCAGCCTTATCCAATGAGCTGCGTTTTTCTCTCTTTCTCTTTCCTGCATCAGATGCATCTGTGGGGTAACTGTTTCCACTTATTGACATCCTTCTCAGTGCTTCAATGCTATGTCCAGTTCTAGCTTAACACTCCATCTGCAGTTTCTCAAGAGGTTGGGTTTTTATAGAAATAACTCCTAAGTGTTCTGCAACAATGTCTGGATCGATATTGATTGGTCGTTTCCTACGGTGAGGAATTATTTTAATTGGAAGTTCCTCTTCACTTAAATCTTGATCTAACTCTTTTTGCTCTAGCTCAGGTTCCATTTTAACAGCATGCACATGTGCCTTTTCAACAATTCGACCAGTGTCCAGATGGCCAAAGAGATCAGCACGTGAATCTTTTGGGCTAATTGTTTCTAAAGGATAATTTGAAACTTTACTGATAATTAAAGAAGCCACCTCTTTAGGAAAGACGTTGTTTGTACCTTTCATGTCATGATAAAGTTCTTCGTGTGTTCCAGATTGTTGTAGTACATGATTATAAACTGAATCAACCACCTGAGAAATAATTTCTATGCTTTCTGGACTTAAAAAGTTTTTGTCAGGATTAGCAGCTACAACACTAATATTGTTTCTGGAAATTTCAGCTGTCACAGATTTCGTCAATTGAGATGCAATTTTATTTAACTCAGGCTTTGATAAGTTTTTAGCATCTTTGCTTGAGGCACTTGGCAACTTTACTAGTTTAGCCAAGAATAAGGCCAGTGTTTCTTCTAAAAACCTGGCGTCTAACATAGCCTCTTTTTCGGATGAAGGCTTTTTCTTCGACTTAAGGTCATCAATAATCTTAACCACTTTTTCCATAATTTTGACAGCTTCCAGAACTAACTCTGAACTTGATGCTTCTTCCTCTACTTGAGGATGAAATTGTGAATTGGAAATTTCCTTCACCATTAAAAATCCTATTATATCAGAGAGGACATTGCTCTTACCCATTAAATCTTTATACACTGAACTATGGCAGCCAGAGCACTTTAAAACACTGTTGTAAACAGAAGTAACTACTTTTTCAATAGTTGCACTGTCTGCTAAAGATATAGTGGGTGATTCTTTGGCCTGTGGTACTACTATAATCTGACTTTTAAAGATATATTCTTGGAATGAACTTAAGATTTTTGAGATTATTTTTTGCATTTCAGCACTTAGAGAATTGTTTGGTTCCTTATCTGCTTTTGGAAACATAGATAAAAGCTTTGACAAAAAATTTACAGCAATTTCTTCTATTATGTTAAAAGGCAGTTTGTAAGCCCATGATGGTTGAGGCTGCGGAACTCCAGTGTTTGGATAACATCTTTACGGATATTTTCAACAACATTGTCAATTTCTGTACGTTGATGTGGCGTTAGCTCTCCAGAAAAATAGTTCTGCAACTGATTGCCAGCTACTTCCTGTACAACTAATTAACTATGGTTTCTGAAAGGATTTTGCAACCACTGTTGACACAATTTTGTATGCTCTCTTGAGATCCAAATTGTGGCAAGAGATTATTATAAATAGTCTGAACTACTAATTGAATAATTTCATAATCATTAGGATGTAAGGATTCTACATACTGTATAATCATATCTTCATCGTTGGAGATCTCTGTCATAATTGTACTTACTAACTTGATTTGAAGAAAATCCAGTTCTGGGTACAAATTATCCTCAGAAATTTCTGTTTTGGCGTTAGCCACTGTTGACAAAATTTTTGATAGAAGAGAAGAAATTATACTTTCTAAAAATTCATAAGGCTGCATTATGGTATATGGCGATGATGTTTGACATTCTTTGCAGGCTGTTTGGGCCACCTTATGGACCTTTTTCATAATCTCTTTAGATTCTAGAGGCAAACTTACTGAAGCTGGAACCTCATCATAAAGTAGCAAGTTTAGCTGATGCTGAAAAATTTCATCTATTACTGCATTAGCTAGCCTTCTTGCTAAATTTTCACCATTGCTATTTATGTCCTTACAAATGGAGTATTGAGATCTATAATCCTTCAAAATATTGCATATAGAAGAGTGAACAATCTTATTGACTGACGTTTTATCGACTGATGGTATTTTATCCGTAAAAGGTGCCTCATCTAAAGAAGGTGTTTTAGTTGCAGGTGCCATTTTATGTATGGGTGGTATTTTATCCATAATTATTTTTTTCTCATGAGCTTCTTGATCCACAGATGGTTCTTTTTGCCTGAGAGGTACTTTATGAACTGATAAAACTGTATCTGCAGATAGGAGGAGCTGCCTTACTTGATCTGGGTTTAATACTTTAATTTGAGCATCTGAAAACTCCTTTAACAGGGAGTCAATCAGTTTCATAGCTGTGTCATAGAGCTCAGATTGATTTCCATTATTGATTACATTTTGACATGTGTCATCTATACCTGGTGAGGAATAAAAAATCAATTTGTTAACTATTTCAGAGATAACATCTTCTAAAAAGTTAGCAGGGAAAATCCTGGGGTTATTGTCTGATAGGTTCTGAGGACTGTCTGATTTACTAGGTTGACTTGTATTCTCTTTATCTTTACTTTTCTCATTCTCTTCCTCTTTTGCAGGAGGATTTTGTTTAGCTGAATTCATTGAAGCAGGCTGTGCAAAACCCTTGCCATCTGCTTGAGTTACAGATGCTGCTTTATCACCTAGAGGATTTGGGGGTTTTGAATCATCAACCGGTCCTTGGATAGAAGATATTTCTTTAAATTCTATAAATTTCTATTTCTATAAATGCTTTCAGTGACATTTTGGACATGTTTAGGATGCAAGATCTGTTTGTCATCTGTAACTCTGTAAGCTGGCGAATCTCTCTTCTCTTGGATCTCTCTACTTCTCACCTTGGATTTCAGAGGTGGTGATTCAAAAGATCTATCCTCTTTTTCTAATGAATTTTCTCTTTTCTTGTCACTCTTCTTTTTATAATCTACTTTTAAATCTCGTTCCAGGACAACCTTCTTCTTTTTTGTATCATTGGTAACTGGTGAGAGACATTGCTATACCACACCACCTTGCCCTTTCTCATCTTTTCTAGCCAAGCTATCTTTTTTCTTGATTTCATTCTTTGTAAGTCCTGTACGCACATCTGGCCCCTGAGTATTTTTACTTTTTGCACTCGTAACTTTTGATACCTTCTCATTACCTTTTCCAATTAGACTTTCCTTTTTCTTTTCATCCCCTTTCTTTTTATTTGCCATACCTTCAGCTAACCCTGATGCTAGGGTAGTTACTTTGCTCTTTGTAATGCCAGTTATAGTGGCACAGATTGGCTCATGGATGCTGCCTGTTTTCATTGATGTCTCCTCCTTTTTGTTTTTTTTTAATTTTTTATTTATTGCAGTAACATTGGTTTATAACAGTGTATAAATTTCAGGTGTACATCATTATACTTCTATTTCTGCATAGATTACATCATGTTCACCACCCAAATACTAATTACAACCCATCACCACACACTTGTGCCGAATTATCCCTTTCACCCTCCTCCCTCCCCCCTTCCCCTCTGGTAACCACCAATCCAATCTCTGTCTCTATGTGTTTGTTTATTGTTGTTGTTATCTACTACTTAATGAGGGAAATCATACGGTATTTGACCTCCCTCTGCTATCCCTCTAAGAACAGGAACCAGACAAGGATGCCCACTGTCACCACTCCTATTTAACATAGTCTCCTCCTTTTTGAAATTCTCTTTTCCATTAAGTGCTCCTCTACCTATTTCCAAAGTGTCCATTTTGTCTTTCAGGCCTGAGGTAAGAGGAGTAAGTGTAGATAATTGTTCTGGTGGAGAAACAGGGTTCCCCTTCAAGCTTCTGTTTATCTTTGTAAAGGTTTTATATGGTTGGTGTTGAACTCTTTGGATGATGTTATCCACAGCTAGAAATGAGAAGGTGGAAGACCAGTCTCCCGAAAAAAGTGGTTGAATCTTGAAAGCAGAGACTGCCTTCTTGGCTAAAGCAGCAATCATCTCTATAACAATGCTACTTCTATCATCTTTCTGAACATTGTTAGGTCCATATATTTCTATGACCTTATCATACACAGAATCAGATACTTTATTGACTGTCTCTTTATCTATTGGTGGAAATGAAAACATTTCTTCAGCATTTGCTAGAACTTTAATTTCACTTTTCAAAATTCCCCTATCAGGGCATTGGCAAATTTTATAGCTGTACCCATGAGGTCTCTTTCTGATATCTCTTTGTCCTTAGGATTTTAAGCAATACTTGGGAGTGTATAAAATTTGTGAACAAGGTCAATTATGACATCTTCCAAAAATGTAGCAGAATACACAGAAGACTGTGGGAAGGACTGTGTTTTTTCTTTACCAGGATTCAAGAGTTCAATGACATGGGCATTTTCGGGTAAGTCACTGGGAGATGATTCTTCATCATGTAAAAATGGCTGCAGACAGTGGTCCAAAATTTCCTTTATAATGAAACCAGCTATTCTCCTGAGGAACGAGCCTCCGTTTTTGCATGTATCTTTCTGTGCTTCATCTTTGAATTTAAACTTTTTAATAATATTATTACATATGGAATCAGTGAAGTTCTCAATTGCTCCTAATTGCATATTTTCCACATGTTCTTCTGCTGTGGCAAGTCTAATCTCATGTTCAGAAACTTCTGTTATAATTTCCTCAGTCAGTTTTGAAGCTGCATTTACAAACTCGTAATCTGGTGGCACCTCTTCCTCATTTAGTTCCGTTTCAGTCTCAGAGGAAGGGAATATATATGCAAGAAGCTTGTAAATCATATCTTCTAAAAGGGAACGAGACAATACAGTGATGCATGATGGCAAGACATGGCTACCATCATTGATGGTGTCGAGCACATTTCTGATGATCTTCTCATCCTGGAGGGAAGAATAGGAAGACGTTGCTAATTATCCCAAAACTAATGACTCCACCTGATAATCATAAATTTCTCCTAACAGGGCCAGCCCCATGGCTTAGCGGTTAAGTGCGTGCGCTCCGCTACTGGCAGCCCGGGTTCGGATCCCGAGCGCGCACTGACACACCGCCTCTCCGGCCATGCTGAGGCTGCGTCCCACATACAGCAACTAGAAGGATGCGCAACTATGACATACAACTATCTACTGGGGCTTTGGGGAAAAAAAAGGAGGAAGATTGGCAATAGATGTTAGCTCAGAGCTGGTCTTCCTCAGCAAAAAGAGGAGGATTAGCATGGATGTTAGCTCAGGGCTGATCTTCCTCACAAGAAAAAAAAAAATTTCTCCTAACAGCAAATAATATATTATTTTTCCAAAGCTGACAGCATCACTTTGTATAGATCTATAAATATGAATCAGAGATTTATAGTCATCTAATATTTTTTCATAAATTAGGTTGACAGTTTTTTTAACCATTTCTTTATATCCCTCTGAAAAATACAGATTTCCATCCAAGTGATCTGAAACTAAAATCTGTGATGTGGTGAACTCCAGCACAATTGATTTTACTAATGTAACAACGTCAGTAATGTTGGCTTTTGCTTTACCTGGGTTTTCGGCAGCCAAGACATTATGTGAGAATACATAAAGGATTTTGCATAAAAGCTCAGAAATTACTTCCTCCAAAAAGACAGCCGAGTTCACAATGAAAGATAATTCTCTTTGTTTAGGCTCTATTGCTCTCTGTTAAGTTTGATCCACTGTACCTGAAGGAAGAGTGTTAACTCCAGATAAAAATAACTCAAGATGATGGTTAAATATTTCTTTTATTATATAACTCACTATTTTTGTAACAGGTATATTACTTATGCCTTTTTTACCTTTTGTAAGAGACTGGTATAGATTTGAATGAGAAATATCAGTATAAATGGCATCAAGCATAGCCTGGCTGCCTTTTCCTGAAATCACATTTTGTTTTGCATTTCCATGTTTAATAATGCATATTGCATGTTTAGAAATTATTGACATGATTTCATCGATCAGTCTCACAACTGTGTTGCTGAAGTCTGATTGCAAAAGGTCTGGATCTTCTGCACTGCAGTTCAATGGACTTATCTGAGATAAAACCTGAGTGACAATTTTTTCCAAATGTGTGTGATAATACGGTGGTATATCTTGTACAAGTCTGTCTTCGGAGTCTTGATTTACTAATAGCATAATGAACTCGCTTTATCAAAACATCAGTATTGAGTTTTGAATATGATTTAAAAGGCAGCTTTGCTATGAAATCTGGATGAATTTGGAAATCAAAAACTTCAGCCAGGATAATTTTAGTTACCCTCTGTGCCAATGTCTTTGTGTCACTAAGAAAGTCCTTATCAGATTCCAATTCATATTCTTGTAAAACTTTGCTATATGCCGTGCCAATAATTTTGATCACTATGTCTCTATCTACTGGTGGCAAACACAGTTGTTCCATGGTATTTTCTAGGATGCTAACCTGAGCTTTTGAGAATTCTTCTGTTATCAAATATACGAGTTTTTCGGCTGTTTCCAGCAGTTCTTTTTCCAAATCTCTTATTGATTTTGTTTGCACAATACCGAACACCCTGTGGAATATTTTGCTTAAAACCCCAGAGATCACATCTTTCAAAAATGCTGAGGAGTAAACACTGGCAAAAAAATGTTGCCTTCTCGCATCCTCAAAGTATGGACATGATGGAGGAAGTAATGAGTTTCCACACACAAATGGATGGAGATGTTGTTGACAGATACTTTTAATGATAAAACCTGCTATTCTATCAATAAGAACATTGTTACTGCTTATGATATCGTGCTCAACTGCTTCTTGAGACCCAGAGTTTGGCAAGATGCTTCTGAATACAGAATCAACGAGATGCTGAGTGTCATCCTCTGAATAAATAGATTTGGTTTCTTCTTCATCTTTTGAAAATCGAATTTCATGTTGGGAAACTTTCATCCTAATGTCACTGATTAGCTTTGAAGAGATTTCACTGCAATTAATTCCTGATCTATCTTTTGGAGTTTTGCTGTATGGAGCCATGTTAGATGCAGAAGGAAAGATTCTAGATAAGAGTACTTTGATTATGTCTTCTAAAAATGTGTATGGCAGCAAGGTGTTATACGGAGATAAATGCTGGCTTGGCTTGGTAGATTCATTGATGCCACTAAAGATGTTCTGAATAATGTTCTCTGCTGTTAAAGTAGCATAGGAAGAAGCCGACAAATCCCCAGAAAATAGTGGATGAAAAAGATAATCAGAAATAGCTGCTACAATTAAATTGGTAATATTTTCTGCAAAAATATCACTGTCTTTGAGTTCTTTACTATCAACCTCAGGGTCCAGTCCATGTTGTTTCAGAACATTCTCATAAACTGAATTGACGAGTTCATCCACAGTGTCTGTATCTACAGTGGGGAAAGACTGCTCTTGGTCATCACGAAGAATGCAGGTTTTAGCTTTGTTAAAATGGTTATTTATTGAGTTTATTATTTTGGGGGTAATTTTATCCAGTTCACACTCAGTGTTATATCTTGGGTTGAAGATCTTTGATAATAGTCTGACAACAATTTCTTCTACAAATGCATTAGGATACAAGTCCATACCTAATGATGGTGGCTCCTGGGGTATGTGTGACTCTGTGACGTCACTGAGAACCTCTTTAACCATATTTCATATTTTTATCCAATGGAGTCATTGAATGAGGTAAGCCCTCTGCACACAAAAAGTGCTGAAGATGATTTTCAATAATCTCTTAAATAATGAGACCGGCCATTCGATCAACCATAATCGGGCTTTGGCTTACTATACTTTTCTGTATTGACACAAGAGAGTCAGACATCTGCAAAATATTATAAACAGACTCCACCATATTTTGAAGGTTTTTTTCTGTATATAGATGTTGGCAATCATATTCAGTGAGCCAAATCTTATGCTTTGAAATGGCTAACAAAATCTTATCTATTATACAGGTGGATATCTCATTAAAATCTGAAGTCATGAAACATTGCTTTCCCAAGCATGAAGCCCTGCTAGGTGGAGGACTGAGCTGAGATAATAGCCTTCTGATGACATCTTCTAAAAATGAGTGTGATAACACGGTAGTATAGCTTGCTGAATGTTGACCTTGGTAATTAAGTTCTCTCAGGTTGTTTTGAAGTTTCTGTAGTATATTTTCAGCTTTGAGAGGGTAATATGAATTAGGCATGAGCTTTCCTACAAAGCACAATGGGAGTTGGAATTCTAAACTCTCTTTCAGTATGCCATTAGTTATCTGTTCTGCTATTGAGGTGGTAGCCTGTGCCAGGTGATTGCCACAGGTGACTCTTAATGTATATTCCCATGAAACATCATTATAAACGGAGTCAACGATCTTACTAACAGTTTCTTTACAGTTTGGTGGAAAACATATCCTTTCTTCAACATCCCGTAAAACAGTGACTCGAGCATTATTAAACTCATTTACCACAGAGTTGACATCTAATATATTTATTTCATTGAGCTGGGCTTCAGTGATGTTTACATTTTTGCCCTGCAATGAGGTAGAGAGATTGAGAAAAATGTATGCAATTATTTCCTCCAGAAACGTAGCAGAGTAAACTCCTGTGCTCATGCCTCCTGGATGTTGCATGTTAAGAATGGTTGTTGCATTCAGTTCCTTTTCACTCGCTCTTCGAAGAGGAGGTAGAGAGGTAACTTTTCCTGAAAATCGCTTACCAAATGGGGCTTGCCTTTGGGAATGAACCACCCTAAGATTATTCAATGGCCCTGTCAAAGGCTTGCTGTCATAATTCATGAATCTTACAGAGACTTTACCCTGTCTTGATTCTTTTAATTCTGGCCTTTTCACTTTTGGGAAACTAGGAATTCTCTCTCTTGTCCTGTACATTAAATGCTTGTTTGTAAAAGGTGTACTTCTGGGAGGTCGCTGCATACCATGTGACAGTTTTTCCATTAAGGATTTTACCAAGCTATGGGAAATAATACTAAGCATAGATTCTTGATTTATTTCTGCCAGATTTTCAAAAAGGTCTGACATGTCATACCCTTCAAATGGTGAGCCATTGTCCATTATTCCCCTGCAATAATCCTCTACATTTTGAAGTATGTTGAACAGTTGATGTTCTGCTGATATTTCATCAGAAAGAGTACCATTTGTAAGGAGTTTGTTGGTTGTGCATTCTTCCAAAAGTATTCTAAGTTTCTCACACACAACATTGAAAGGAAAAACTGATTTTGGGGAGAGCCCTAGGTTATTTCTAGGTATTCTATGACTTTGCTGGATATTTGAAGATAGGAACATTTTTCTTTCTCTTTTATCAGAATCCATATCCCAATTTTGGCATTCATCTGGCAAAAACAAATCAAAAACAATATTGAAAATTTTATTGACTACTTCTTTGGATTCATGAGTTTTTAGGCTACCAACCAGAGTATGTAACTTACATGCCAGAGAATTTAGTTTATTTTTCTGTACTAGTTGATTAATTCGGTGAATAGGAGCTGATTTCCAACCTCTAGGGCCTGTCTGTCTTTTCATTGTTTCGGTTTTGTTGCCAATGGGCCAACTATGGCTTTTAAGCATGGAAAGTGATTTGTTTCTTCCTTTGCTGTCAGGATGATGATTTGTTCCTATTTCTTTGGACAGAACATGGATCACTCTTATTAATAGATCTTGAAAGAGATCGTCAAAGTCAGCCACAGCTATTCTTGGGCAGTAAATATATTTTATCACAGAAACCGTTTGTTGCGTAATGTCTGCCTTTAAAATGTCACTATTACAAAGGATTCGAATAATGATTTCAGAAATGCTTAAAGCAAGTCCTCTGATAGAAATTGACCGACTCTCAAACACTTGGGAATAAACTAAAATAACCTTGCTAAAAGTTGTATCTTGGTTTTCCAGTGATTTCTGTTTTTTTCCACCATCTTTGGTGAAATCGGAAATGCTTGAAATTATATAGAAAATAACCAGTTCAGTGAGATGCTCACAAAACTTTTTAAGCGAAGAATCACCCTTTATGCTTCTTAGAGGCTGTTTTGATTCATATTTGTTCTTTAACAGTGTGGAAACAATAGATACTTTTTCATCAAGAGGACCTTAAAACAGAAAACATTGTTATTTTTAACATGCATTAAGGAAAAATGTTGACCATTCAAAATACTGACAATATTTTATATACGAATTTCTCCTTGGGTGTACCTCACTCAAGAAATAGAAAGACCTAGTCAAGAAAGGAACTGGGTTTTCTTCAACTCTCTATTTCCTGGGGAATCTTATTTCAGCTCAGAAGTTAAGAAAATAGCCCAGCAGAATTCAAATCTCTAAGTTCTGGTTTCTTCCTTGGATAGCTATGTTGCTTTAAGAAGCTGGAAATCCTGGGGCAGAGAAACGATTTCCAGCTTTAGTGTTGCAATGCCCTAGAGTGATTCCAGTGATATCTAGAGGCCTCATGTAATTCTTGAAAACATTTTTGGCTGTTCAGCTAATTATCCAGTTTGGGACTATATAGTATATAGTAAATTGAACCAAATGAAACTGCTGATGTTTGACAGATTTGACATACAAAAATGGCTATTTCATATGGTTCACGCCAATATATGCATGTAAGCATTCATAGAAAGGGAGTGCAGATATTGTATTTGTAAGCATAGATTTAGAGTATTATTCCTAAAAAGAATTTAAGTCAGAATACTGGAACGCGAACAACAGAATATGAAGTTTAACACCACCCTTCTTATAAACGCTATCATCAATATTCACAAAGACTTTAACTGGATACCTCAAAAAGAAGTTGGGTCATTACTTTACTGTCAGTTAACTATGCATGAGGTCTGACTATAATGTAAGAAGTCTTTTTTAAGGAGATCAGCCCCGTGCTAACATCTGCCAATCCTCGTTTTTTGCTGAGGAAGACTGGTCCTGGGCTAACATCCATGCCCATCTTCCTCCACATTATATGGGACACCGCCACAGCACGGCTTGCCAAGCAGTGTGTCAGTGCGCGCCCGGGATCCGAACTGGTGAACCCCGGGCCGCCACAGCGGAGCGCGCTCGCTTAACCGCTTGCGCCACCGGGCCGGCCCAGAAGTCTTTTTTAAAGAACATAAAATAAACCCTCTGGGAACTTCTGTTTGGGAATTGCCTTTAGAGCAGTTGTGCGTCCCAAGCCAGACAACCAGTCTCATTGTTTCATAGTCATATCTCATGCCCAACCAAAATACCCCACTTTAAATTATGCCCATTTAATCTCATCTGTACATAGAGAAAACTGAACAACACTCCTCCAAATAAAAATTATGTAAATGCATAACATTTTTTTCTTTTAGCACATTGACCAGTTGAAAAACACACAAGTAGATAAACAGCCACCCCAAATCCAAGGCTATTTTCAGAGAAGCAGTGAATGCAGCTTCTTGGATGTGAGGGTTAAAAACAAAATTCTTAAAATTATCATTGGCTTTTTTTCCCCTAAAATGATGCCAACTCTTTGTAAGTCATCCCTTACTCACCTCTGGTTTCGAAGTTCTTGAAATGTGTGACCACAGATATAGTAACGTATCTTGCTACTAAGAGAGATTTCATGTTGTCCCAGTTCCTGATGTGCAAAAGCAATGACTTCAGCCTCCTCAAGAGTTGCTATTTTCTCTAACTTTGGGTACTTATTTTTCCACTTTTCCATTAAAGTGAAATCTTCTCCACTTGCTACAAGGTTTTTGTTTTTTTTCTTTGGTTTTATAGCTGATTCTTTTTTCCCATATTTTAAGTAAGCTTTTCTTATCCTTTTGTTCTTCAGACATTATAGATGAAGGCCTTTCTTTTGATACAAAAAATGGCCTCATTGTTTCTATACTTTCATCAGTGTGTGGGGTTTGACTTGGAAGGCCATAACTCAGTAGCATGATATTGACGATATTTTCTGCAGCTAAACATATTTTGAGTGGAGAAACGGTCGTCTGTATTTGGTTTGGCTTAACAACGGGTTTGGAGGGCTCATAGTGAAGCACTCCTTGATTTTCACCTTCTTCCATTTGTCTGAAGGACATAGGGTGCTCTAGTGCTGCTTGCACAGAGTCACTGGATTTCTGAGATAGTTTTGTAAGACACTGCTTTTTGGGGTAGAGCTGTTTCCTTTCACAGCTTGATCCAAGTGGCTGAGGCATTGAGTTTCACTTCTAGAATATGATGGTTTAAGTTTTGATTCGAGCCCTTCCATTGGCTCTCTGGTTTTAGTTCTATCTCCTGCAGAGTATCTGACACACGAAGGTAGATTTGAGGAAGACTTGTCCTTTATTTTCATATGTTCTTCTGAATAAAATAGCAAGCCAGGGATTTGTGGAGGATCATCCTCGCAGTTAACTCCCTTTGACTTTGAAGTGGACATTCCCCTCCCGGTTGCAAATTCGGGCTGATTAACAGTACAGGCATTTTCAGTTCCTTGGAACAGATTCTCCTTTGCATGGCTTTTGATCATTGACTCGTAGAAATGAGTACACTGGTCCATCAGTGTGCTGATGATCTAACTTGCTACAACATTTTCTTCAAATACTGTAATCAAAGATGGTTGCACTTGGCATTTTTCTCTGTCTAGCTTGTTCTTAATTATACCAAGCATGTTATTGACAGTACTAGCAGTATATGTAAGCAGTTCTGAATGGAATGAGTGAAGCTGTCGAAGGGTATTCTGAATATTTTCCTGGGAAATCATACTACTTGATGTAGATTCGTCAGGAAACTTATTCAAAGGTTGTAACTTGGGCAGTATTGTTTTCATTAATGATTACTGTTGGACACCAAAAAAGTTTTCAATAGGTATTTTCACAATTTCAGAAAAAGAATATGTAAAGACATGTTTAAACTGTAGGTCTGCAAATGACTCAAAGGTGTTCAGAACCCCTTCCATGATTTCTTGAGCAATTTGGTGGCTAGTGCCCCCCAATTTTTGGTCTTTCAATTTTGTGTTATAAGTTTGTACACTGTTGAGGTTGTTTGTTCTTAAGGAACCACATTTACTTCTGGCAGTAGTTTCTTTCTTGCTTTCTAGCATTTCTTTACTATCTTACGAACGTCTGAGTCAAGAAGCACAACTCTAATTTTTCAAATAGCTTTTCAACAATTTCCTGGCCAAATATATTAATTTGTACTTGAGAACACTCAGCTCTAGAAGCAGCTCTTTTAAAATTATGGTACCCGCTTTCACAAGCCTCTAGAGGTAAGAAATTTAAAAATGAAACAGATTGTTCTAATTCTTTTGCTTTCATTGAAATTTCATTCAAGACGGTCTCAGCTATCATCAATAGCTTATATTTTTCATTTTCCATGTCACTTGATTCTGTTTTCCACTTATCAAACATTTGTTTAAAAATATCTTCTTTAGGGAGATTTTCTTTAGCTGTGGAGAAACATTCTCCAAAGAGAAATGGGCTTCTGGATTTGCAGGAGAGATTGTACTAAAATGCCTCTGTGAAAGTTTGAGATCTGAATATGAGCCTTTTATTGGGTCAGCCAAATTGTTGTTCTTTTTAGCATATAATCCTTGCAAAACTGCATTAACTATTTCACTTGCTGTCACAATTTGATCAGAAGGTGAAGCATTTACATTTACCATTGCTTTATTTTGCCTCACCTTTTGAAATTCATTCACAATTGTTTCCAGAATATTGCTTACTATATCCTTGGCATACATTTTTTTGTTCTACTGTGGGGAGTTTTAGTCTCACTAAGGAGTTTTTGGCATCCCCTGTTGATCGCAGGTGTGGCAGCCCAATGGCAGTCTTGGACCAGCTGCCTTTTAGAGTCTTCTCTCCAGGACCGAACTCGATCTTGCTTTTGGCTTTAGTACCACTAGGTCCTAGCTGTGGTTTTGTTTTAAATTTAGGCAAAGAGGTAATTTTTGATTTTGTTATAAAATTTGTTCTAAAACTTGCCTTAGGGCTGCCCTTGGGACCAGCTTTAGAACTACTTGCACTCAGAGATCGAATTTCATCAGACTGACCTTTAGGGGGCAAACTCTCTTCTAGATTCAGTAAAGCAAAATTTGTGATCTTTTCGAGAACTGTTTGGACCAATTCTTCGCCCACTTGCAATGGAGAAAATTTCAATAGGATGTTTTCCAATGAAGTGACACTTCTAATGCCTGTGTAAGGATAAACTTGAGGTATCACATGTTCAGGGGGAATACTTTTTTCTGTTTGTTTCAGTCTCCTAAAGCACGATGGATTCATCAGTAATTCATCACTGCCAGATGCTTCCGATTCTCCCCTGTTCTCACTGTTTTCATATAAGGATGTCATAACTATTGAGAACATTTTTCTGAAAACACTTTCAACTATATCATTTGCAACACTGCTTATATGTGACTGCAAGCCTTTTTTTCGTGCTGCTCCTGCTGTTTTAATTTTAGAATCAGATGTAAAGTAGGGGAGTTCATTAAATGGAGGCCAACGGTCTATGTCTTCCATTACCCTTTGATACATCTTCTTTAAAATTTCCTTAACTGCACTTAACAAAGCAGTTGTTTTTTTTCTTTTCAGGTTCTCCAATTCTAAATATTTCTTCCACAACCCTTCTCAGGTATTCTGCTTCTGATATAATTTGGTTTTGATCTGGGTATTTTGAAAAGAGAGACAGTTCAGTGTTGTCTTCCATCTTTCTTTGACCCAGCAATATTTCATTTTGTACAGCTGGTTGTATAAAAAGGCTAGAGTTCTGCTTTGAGTAAAAACTACTTGCCTTTAAAGATATTTTATCGTGTAAACTCTTTAAGATGTTGTTGACAGTTTCACTCGCAACGATGTTTTCTTGAGATGAAGTATTGTTTGGATATGAATACATCTTTTGCATTTCGAGGTCTACGTCATTTTTTATAAGCATCAAAATGGTACTGGCGATTATGTCAGCATATTCCTTAAGGCTAGCTTCTGATATATGAATTGCAGGTCTATGTTTTTCCCTGTGATTAGCTAATGTGTAATCTGTGACCTCTTGACTGAGAATGGTTTCAGCTGTCGATATTTTCAGGCTACTCATATGCGATGGCATTTGGTTTGATTCAAGAAATATGCCATCATCTTGTTTACAATTTGTAAATTCTGGGCCAACATATGGTTTTTCTCTAGTCTGAGTATCAAGAGTAAGTAGCAAAACTATTCTTTTCTGTGGCAAAAGATTTTAATCTATTCAAAATAGTTTGAGTAATGAAGTGAGCATTTTCCTCACATGGGTCAGGAGCAGATTTCTTGGCGTCTTGTTTCTCAAATACAGTCATTTGATTATCCTCAGAATAAGCTGATTTCAGCTGTACATCTCTTCCTTTTCTTGCAAATAGAAATCTCGCCCTTTTCCTTTCATTCACTGAGTTCTTAACAGGAGATTGTTGACGCTCTGCTTTGGGAAATTCATCAGAAAATGCCAGGGGTGATCATCTTGGAGAAATAGAATCGTTTGCATTTATGCCAAGCATGACAGCATAAGTGAGACTTTGAAGAACAATATTTACCATATCATTGGACATCACAGCAACGCATGATTTAGAAACTAAAAGCATGGGAATAGCCTTATTTGCACACTCTGGGTCCGTTTCAGAGTTTGCTTCTAAATGTTTTCCAATTTCATTACATTTAAGAGTGGACGCAACAAGCGGGAGATTATTCTCATCTAGTGTTTTCTCACAGATGTCACTTAAGATACCCTCAGTGGTATCTAGTATTTGAAATTGAAGTTTTTTTCGATAATCACTATTATTGAACAGCTTTTCAACAATATCTTCTGGCCAACCTGCATCAATCTCTCTGTCAAATATGTTTTTTTCATATTTGCCTTTAGTAGACACAATATCTAACACTGTGTTAACAATATGACTTGGAATACTTTCAGAAACCACATTATGAGTTAAGAATGGACTTTTTATTTCTTTATCTAACTTATGTTTGATTCCTTGTAAAATTTGTCTAGCCACTTCTGTTGCATATATATTTAATTTAGAGGCAGTCATTTGACATATTGAGGTGGTCTTCCCTGACTTATTATGATCTACCGAGCAACAGGAAAATTGATCATCAGAATATGAATCTTTGGTAGATAACCATGGTTGGCTTAAAGCAGTCTCATCCCGCTGTAAAGGTAAAGCCATTGGAACTGTGAAATTGATATGAGGACAAAAGAGAGCTTTTACTTTGGAAGTAGCGAATGTTTCTAAACTTGTTAATACTGACTGTACAATATCTTCAACAACATTTATTTTGGTCAGTTTACTAATACTGAATGTGGACTGAAATGTACATGGATTTCTGTCCAGTATGGTAGAATAAACAGAAGACTTTCCTCCACTGGCGTGTTCAGGAAAAGAGATATTTGCTGGAAAGGTGATAGTCTTATATCTATTTTCATTTGCATTTCTGTCTGTCATGACAGCAGAATAAACTTTTTGAAATATGGTTCTAACAACATTATCTGCAACAACAGTTACATCTGCTTCAGACACTAAAGGATCCATTGTTTTATCCAGGGACTGAACAGATGTTTGAGTAGCTGGCTCATTACCAGCATGAGGAATGTCATATAAATGGGACTGGGGGAGAGGAAGCACATTTAATTGATCAACTAAATCATTCTGAAAAATTTCATTCAAAATATTTCTTATAATGGGCACAACTGGGGACTTTTGTGGCTCTTTGAGTTCTTCTTCAAATTTTTTTAATGTTCTTTCTAGTTCCTGTTGCTTAAAAGAATCTGATTTAGTTTCTTCTTCTAGTGGTCTTTCCTCTCCAGCACTTTCATTCTCTGTATCTGCAGGATCTTCTCCATATGACTCTGGGTCAGCTCCTCCAGGAAGAAAATTTCCATAGATTGGCCTGTATCGGTAATGTTCAATGCCTCTCTCTTCTGGTTCAGTTTCATTAAACATATCTGTAGGCAGTGCATCTAAAATTAAATTGATTAGATTCTTAAGAATTTGTTTCTCTCGTGGTGGCTTGCTTATACATGTTTCCAAATCTGGCAAGCTCACATTTAATTCAGTTTGAATAGCCTTCAAAATGGTACTTGATACTTGCTTTGCATGCACATATAAAGCAGACTGCAATCGTTTTTTATGTGTGTTAGCACAAATGTTGGTACTTTCACTTTCCCAGTATGTCTTGTTGCTTTTTTTATTTCCATTCATTAGAGTGCCCAGAGTTGCTAAATTTCTATTGGCAAACCCCTCTAATTTAGCAAAAACCATTTCAAAGATATCTGAAGCCCTGACTTTCAGTTTATTTGGATGCTTTTCTTTTGTGGTCCCTATTTTGGGAGCAGTAGTTTTTCCTGTGTTGTTAGTCACCTCTTGACTACCAGGCTGGATCACACTGGACACCATGCTGGAGATTATGTCAGAGCATCTGTTCATTTCCTCAACAAGCAAAGCAAATGATGGGCTGTCAGTGTCAATATACTCTGAGATAGCTTTAAATTCTGGATTTGTGAAAATACGATCCATCTCAACACTACATAATTTTGTAATGATATCTTCTAGAATTGTATGAGAAATGAGCTGAATATTAGACTGCAATGCAGTGGTTGTTCTCAAATTCTCATTGATTCACTCTCTGTTTTGCTCATCAGATAGGGGAGAATTTGGATGGTCTCCTATGAGCTCGCATAACATGTCATATAAGATATCTCCAATTCTATCTAACACCTGCAATCTGGTACGTTTGTGAACTTCCTCTTGCATGGGAGGACAATGAGAAGACAAAAGTTTTTGTTGATCAATGTCAGCAGTTCCATGTGAGATTTTAGACCTTAGCTTATCTGAAGAGAGTAGAACACTGTTTTTATCATCTGTATTTCCACTTAATACTTCACAAATACAAGTTGCTAATGGACTTGTCAAAATGTCATTATTTAGCTTTGTGACAACAGAATCTAATTCCTTTTCGGTGTCAGCAAAATATCCTGTTTCAATAAAGTTCTTGGGAAGGTCACTCTTCCTAAGATTTAGATTCTTCTTTTTATATCTCAGTTCTTTCTGGATAGTATCCAGAACAATTTTTACCACTTTAGTTGTGTAAGCACTAAGGTGAGATTGAAACAAAGATTTCTTGTCAGTCAGGTGCAGGCTTCAAATGGGCAGCATGGATTTCTGGTTTGAGGCAGTTTTGCAATTTTGGGCAAATTTTGAGTCCAGCTTCTTAAAAATTGTATAAATGATCTTATCTTTAATGAGAACTACAGGTTCAGATGTTGATTCACTTTCTCTAGGTTCTAACCAGGGATGTTTTGTAGGGTCTATGCCAAGTCCAGATAAAAATTTCATCTCCCTTTTACTTTCAAACCATATTTCTAATGGCTCGTTATTTGGTACATCAGCATCATCTAGAGAAGTCTGATGTACTGATGAATATCCAATAATGTGACTAGAAGCTATGTGAAGTATTTTTAATACAGCATCTACAATTTCTTGAGCTACTGTATGGATTTCTGACACAGAGAACATCTGGTCCATCCATTCTTGATGTGACAGATCTTGTGCTTTTCCTGAGGTAAGAAGTGAAGCTTCTTTACCATTTTTATAATCTAAGTGACCAGAGGGCCCAGAAGATATGTCTTTGAGCATCTGTGCTAAAATACTTGTAATTATATTTTCTGAGGCTTTTTCTATTTGATGCTTTTCATCTTGGCTGAAAAGCAAAATGTCTTTATTCAAACATGGCTTGTCCTTAAAATGGTCCTTATTATTAAAAGTTGGAAGGTCAGTCTTTAATCCCCAATCGTGAAACGCTACTTTGCCTTGATAAGCAGGCTTCATAGGTAAGTTCATATATCTTTTGTACTTTAAACCAGCATTTTCTCTTGTTAACCAGTGATCAGGAACTTGTTCTTGCAATTTTGCTTTTTCATCTTTGATAGATGAACTCAGTACATTTTCCAGAATTTTGTCTATTTCTTCATTTTCATCTTCAGAATAAAGGACCATGCCAGGAACATTAATAGGTGGAAACAGGCATCCATATCGAGGACCATTAGCTACTCTAGGGCTGGCAAATATGTTCTCTTCTTCAGTGCCAGAAGGACTGCTCAGTCTGGGGTGTCTACTCTTTAGGACGTTTGTTTTCTTTGGTTTCCGATGTAGCTGAGCCAAGATATCATCAAGTAGCTGAAGGATGATCACCGTTTCTTCAGTTGCAATAAGCCTTTCATTATTAAGTCCAGTTTGTATATAACCTAGTATGGTGCTGATTGCTTCCTCTATATAACCAACCAGAGAGGACTGCGAAAAAATATTTTATACTAAATTTTGTATTTCTTCTTCGCCAATCAAATGGGCTGCATCAGGTTCAGCACTGGATTTCCTTTTGCTGGCTCTTTGAAAGAATGTATATGTTGGATCTTTCCTGTGTTGCTGATAAGCAGGTTCAGCTGTGATTTCAAGATGAGCTAGTTCATTTTGCTTAGAAGATGCAAGAGCCGCCAGCTTTTCTAAAATCACATGAACCATATCCTCCGCAATATCATTCATGTTCTCCAAAGTGTAAGGCAGTGAAGCTTTTGAAGTTCTTTCTTTTGGAGAAATGAAATGTTCTCCACTAGCTGTTAAGTCCGATTTAAAGTGAACTGACAACTTTTCTTGTGAAAATACCTCAGTACATTTTGTCTCAACTTCAGCCTGTAGCTTCTCAAGCACATTTTCCATAATTTCAGCAGCTGCTGAGGAGATATCAACATCGGAGATGACTCCTTTGTCAGTGTCAATTTGGCCAACCAAGGCTTTGGCCGTAACAGACGAAAGGATGGGGACGGTCTGGGTAAATTCAGACACCATTTCATGAAAAACGTTTTCTAAAATCAACTCAGTTTCCTCTTTCAGGTGATTTTTACAGTTAACAAAAACATTCTTTAACTCCTGCATCTCATTTATGGCTTTTGCTTTTTCATCAGAAGACAGTGGGCGTTTTAAGCCATCTGTTTCAGTGATAGCATCTTTAGATTTCTTTGTGTCTGTTTTAATCGGTGCGAAAGGTGACTATCGGATTTACAGATTTTAAGCTTGGAGGATTCAAAGGTCTCATTATATTTAGGTTCAGAGGTTTTAGGTTGTTCTTCCCTGTGATATGTTTTTCCCACAACTATTGTTTCTTTATGGGCAGGAGATGGTTTTAAAGGTGCTGCCAGTTGCTCTATTGCCCTGTCAGCTGCCTTTGCACAGGGCTTTGCCTGAAACGTCTTACTTGTTTTATACAGAAACGGTTCACTGCACATGCTACAGCAACTAGCACTATATGAAGACAGGGTGGAGTCATCAGGCATTGGGTATATAATATTTTGCAACCTTCCTTCATATTTTCTGATGGCTGGGTATAATAAACTGGTCACTGCAGCCACAACCCAGGTCATTATATTATGAATTATACTGCTCAGTTCTTCAGAAGTTACCTGGAAAGGAGGCGAGCAGGGATATAAGGGAAATCACATATGAATTTATTCTATTTTAGGGACAGGGACTAACTTTTAATTCCTTGTATCCAACAATGCATAGCTAGAATCCAGCCATGGTGTATAGAGAGAACATAGGAAAGGATCTATTTAGAACATCAGATTATTTTCAAGTTAGTTTATTCTTTATGGCTGTGAGATATTCTTTGAATAAGATTCCTTTTGATTCAAAATCCCTTGGAAATTTTTATTTTCAGCATTTATTGCTGAGGATAAATGGCTTCCTGGTTAAAAATAATAGCCAAGTGGGTGTCTAGGCTCATAGAAGACAAATGCTCTGGCAAGAAGTAAGACTGTGTTTATGATCCAAGGAATATTTCTTAAAAATACAAACCAGGTTACCTCTAACAAACTATTTCATGACGCAGATTTGCAGTCAAAACGTTTATGTGCCTTGGTGGAGATAGCCTCCTTTTACTTAAGCATCTGTTTAGCTACGAGGTGAGGGTGAAAAATAAAGCGCCACAGTGGAGGGGTCAGCCTGTGGGCTCTGAGGCCCACCTATTGCTGCCTTCCTCTGTCAACTGACTGTGTTTATATATGCAAATGATTACAGCTACTTGTTAAGGTTTAATGGATAGGCAACAATTAGCACTGATGATTTAGGGGAAATTAATAGGCTTTGGGTCCAAAAAAAGATTATCAGTGCAAACTGTCTTGGATAGGGAGGCAAAGGACAGCTCATGAAGTAAAGAAACACATTAATTTAGGTAGAAAAAAAAGGTTGAGCTAGAACTGGGACTCAAGGAGCCAGAAGGCTGAGCAGTAGAAAGAAGTTTGGGTCTCCTTCAGTATGAGCTGAAGTAGAAATCCAGGGACCAGACTTGAATGACCATTTTCTCAGTGGTTAATTGTGCTCACTGTCACAGCTTAGATTGGACCAGGGGTAGATGCAAATTGCACCTGCCAAACTCTATACCTGTTTATGTACTTCTAACTTATTGCAGGTACATTTTGGGAACATAAAAATCCTCTTGCTTATAATAAAATAGTATTTGTTTTTAAGTTGTTACCCTCAAGACAGCCAGACCAAGAGTGTGTACCTTTTACAGGAACTCTACTTCTCAAGGCTGCAGATACAAGTCAGTGGCAGCAAAAGCCGGATGCCTGGCATTCTAGCTATGCGTTGTTTGATATCTTGGCATTTGGGCACCAGATTCTCTACAGTGTGGTTGTTGCCTCCCAATTATCTCCAAAGTTAGCTCCAGATTGTTCAGGTTTAGGCAACATTCAAAGAAAAGTTAACACCTTGTTGCATATAACATACTCTCTTCTGACCCATTAGAGAAGGTTTGAGGGCCACTTCAGGGAAAAGCCATTTTGTTCCACTCCAATTCCCAATCTCTTAATGCATTTTTTATTGTGATAAAATACACATAATGTAAAATTTACCATTTTACCATTTTAAAGTGTACAGGTCAGCAGCATTAAGTACATTCACAATGTCATGCAAACATCACCACTATCTAGTTCTCTTAATACATTTTTTTCACTTACTGCCCAGACCAGGAAATGGCTATTGAGTTTGAAATACATAGTTTTGAGTGACAGCATATGGTTGAAAAACACTTGTTTTATATAAACATGTCCTAAATCAAACACTTCTAAGAATAACATCTAAACATTAATAGGTAAGTTACTCACCTTTTTGGTCTAAATTGGTCTAAGTCTGTTCCAATACATATGAACTAAGAATTTTAATATATATTATTTTCTTATTACCAGAGATAATGTACAGCCAACCTACATTATTGCTCTTAGAGTAGCTGAGAAGAAGCATTTCCAATCTTGATATATAAAATAGGGCCATTCCTAAAGTTTTTAACGAAGTGAAATGTGATAAATGGAATCTGATTTTTCAGTTCATTTTCACTATACTATTAAACCGAGAAATATCCTTTTGGTGTCAGTATGTCTAGGTCTTTGTATTTGTTGCTTGTTCTATGAATTGAGCAGGTGTATGTGTGCAAGACTGTGTGAATGTGCTACTCCCCTGAACCCCTCTCTTGTTCATGATTCCTCTGTCTAGCCCCAGAGTTGGGGCTCATCAAATTTACCCTCTTATCTTTGCCTAGTCCAACCTGCAGCTCTCAGGTGACTAGATCCCTTCTTTAGATGGAGTAGCCATCCTAAGATTCTTCTTACTCCTGGGAAAATTAAGAGACAGATCCAGGCATCCTGGCTGACCTGCCCAAGGGGCAGGATGCTAGGCCTAAGCCAGATTTGTAGTGGTCTGCAAAGGCATTTCCCTTAATGCCTTCCCCTTATGGAGTGGGTTTGTGGTATTTGATACTTTTCCCATGATGATCAAACCTCCTAAGTCTCCCCCAATCTACTTTCCTGAGCCCCCTGCCCAAAGGGCCAATAACAGTAATTTGGGACCCTTTTTAACAATAATTCTTTTAACAATAACTTTAGACTTCTGCAAAACTCAAGATTAACTGAGAGTGAAAGTCAAGTTAGAGAAAAAGGCAAAGAGAGCAACTGACTAATGTCAACAGATGATTTTTCTGGTTGTCTGATTCACAGATTTTTCTCTAATAACATATTAGAAAATATCCTTAATATGTTGCTTTATCAGTGAATTTCATCTTACATACTTTTTCTTGAGAGCGATCTTGATAGTAGTTTTGTTGTCTGAAAAGAGAGATTGATTTTATTACTTATGGTTAATAATTTAGGTATCTTTTCACCAAATTCCTAATCATTGAATCGGATTATCCCCTTTCTGCTTGGGAGTTTTTTTCTCCCCAGAAATTCACAAAGAAGAATAAGCTTTATTTTTTGTCTAATCTCCATATTTAGCCTCCTACTTAGATATTGGCCCCTGGGTATAGGACATGCTTTATTACTCAGAAGAGTAGAATAATTGCTGCATAAACAGTAGACTACTAGCTGCTGCATAAACTAACATCTATCTGATATTACTACTCTTGATCCACCTTAGCCATGTTTGTTTTGTAGTGAGTTGGGAAGAGTATGGGGTTGGAGAGAGAGGGGATGGGCTAGTCCTTTCTGCTTGCTCTGCTTGACCAGAGCTTTTTAATAATTCACTTTCTACCCACCTCCTCAAAACTCCTAGTCTCCTCCCCTCATCCCATAGTAGGAAAAGATCTATGGATGGTTATTGATAATGATGGATTAAAATAATGGGTTTTTGATCATACGCAATATCAAATGAGATGTAGCCCTTTTCTAGGTATCACAATATTCTATTCTGTTCTATTAGAATTATTTATTATCACCTACTACACAGAACCAAAAATATATTTTACTAAATTGTAGCAAGAACAACACAATCATGTAAATTATAGAATAATAAAAAAGTTAAAAAAAATCAAGGCCTAAGACTGTAATTCTGATTTATTTTCATGTTTTCCTGCCTACCTGGATCCCTTGCCTCTCTTCTTCCTGATCTTCTTAAAGAAAAACTGGCACTCTATCTTCACTTGTACTTGGCCTGCCCTTATGTTATCAAATTTACTTTTTTCCCCAAGGCCTACAGTTCAGTTGTGAGAAATACAGCCAGGGTGTGAAATTACAACTTAACCTCTAGTAGGAAAAGAAAACCTATAGGTCTCAGCTAGAGTTAGGTAGCAATAGCCCATCCTCAGACTAGCACCTTTTTGTAATATGGAACCTGGAACATGAATGCTTATGGCAGTGACATAGTTCCTATCCTTTGGCTTCCTTTATTTTTCTAAGATCCAGTTTCTTAGGCCAACTCCAGCACAATTTCCTTTTTGTAGATCCTCTGCAATCTAGTGCACCCACATTCTTTTTTCTGCTCTCTCTACATCATACCACAGGCAGCAAGTGGAACCCAGTGAGTCCTGTGTATTTGTTGCTACCTGTCCTCACAGGCATGCATTTAGATAAAAGGAAATAGCAAAGACCTGAGAACAAAACTAACCAAATAAATGAGAAAGTCCTCATATAAGACCACTAGAAACGAGTTGTAACTTTGGATACAATCTGCAATTTGCAATGAATTATCAGATTCTTGTTGAAGTCAATCTAGCAGAAATGTGCAAATGAACTCACTGTTATATCAGGAAGTTCCACCACAATTCCATGAGTGACATGATATTCCATCCACTTTTCCCTAGTCTTAGGTGGTTTTCCCTGATAGTAAAGTGTCTAATGTTTAGGTCGTCTGTACTGCCAACTCTCTATTTCTTAAATAAAGAGGGCAATGATATTAATGACAATTAATTCAGAAGCCCCAAAGAGAAGGCACAGTTTTTCACAGTTTAATTTGCTATGTCATAAAACTATAAATATACCTTTCTGCTCCTGACTTTCTCCTCCATACAAATTCACTTTCATCTAGAAGATACCTGAAAGATATCTTCATATGGTTGGCCAACTACCCCTTGAAGATTAATGTGACAAGACAAAATTTTAGTCTGCCTGCCTAATCCTTCTGAATATCTAATTTTTTTTTGCTGAGGAATAGTCGCCCTGAGCTAACATCTGTTGCCAATCTTCCTCTTTTTGTATGTGAGCTGCCACCACAACATGGCCACTGACAGGTAAGTGGTGTATGTCTGTGCCCAGGAACCGAACCCGAGCCGCTGAAGCGGAGCATGCCAAACTTAACCACTAGGCCACTGGGGCTGGCACCTGAATATCTAATTTTTAATCTAATTAGTGGTCTTCTACTTGTATCTCAGGCCCATAGCTTTGGGGTGATGCCTGATACCTCCTGATCATCCACACATGTAGTCCATTCTATTGCCAAATCCATTTACTTATTCCAGTGGCTGAATGGGACTTAAATGCAGTACCTCTGTATCCTAACATCAGTGTTCCAATCTGAAAGCCAAAGACTGGATAGTTCCATGGGTGGCCCTCCCTTTGCCTGACATTTTATCCACTGCCTTGCCTTCAATTCACTCTCTGGCATTCCTCATGTCTCCCTGTCTTTTCTCCTGATGCTTTGTGAAGCACAGCTGAGGTCAAGG